TATAAATGCAAGCAAACTGTTACTGCTCTCCCAACTCCCACGGTCCCAGACTATAATTATAGAGAGAAAGCTAAATGGACTAGCCATTCGGCCTACCCTCTCTTGGCAGAAATACAATGTCCCTGATTTTGCCTGCCTTAGGAGAGCAACACCATAAAAAAAAAAAAAAAAAAGTAATGCTCAAGAAATAGTCGTTTAGAAGCCAAATCCACAAACAAAACTGCTTAGACTTGAATGACTAGTCTCACCTCTTTGAGGCTGCAACATTGCAAGGATGGCAATAGTGATTTGACATATACAGCACTTTGAAGTGGGCAAGAGACTGACATTTGTGGACTTCTCTGACCCTCCCAACAAGCTCGAGATCAGCTAGATGCATTACCCCCACACAGCTCATGTAAGACTGCTGAGGAGGGCTGAAGGTAGCCCCTTCCAAGTTCTCCCCACAATCACAACAGCACTGCAGAAGAAAGGTCTTCCTGCACACAACACCATGAGCAATCTTAGCACATCCAGGATCGCCCAAGGTCCAAACCCCGGTCCTACTACTCTTTCCCTGGGTCACCTGGAAAGAGTCCCTTTACTTCTGCGTCCACTTCTGCCAAAGGAGCCCATTGCGCTAAATTCCCTCGTTGGTCGGTCGTTTACATCTCTTAAAATTTCATGGCTCAAGACAGTCAGGAGCGAAGAGAAAACAAGATTTCTATTGGATGAAATGAATGAGACACTTAAGAAGGGAAGTGAGAAATAACTAAAAGACTAGATGTCTTCCTTTCAAAATGAGGAGAAATGCCCAAAGCAAAAAGCTGCTGGAAGAAACTTGGGTTTTGCTTCGATGTGGTATTTGCCAGAGGCAAAAATCAGTCAGTCACGAAACATTTATGTTCAACTGTGTTTGCCAGGTACAAGAGCTAAGCGCTGGAAAGGAGACGAGAACGTTCTACGCCCTCCTCTCAGCCTAAGTAAGGCCTTTGGTAGCATCAGATGAATTAGAGGCACGTAACAGCTTTGGTCATTTGGAAATAATTCCCTGCTGAGGGGGCCAACGGCCCATCTGCTTCCCTGCAACTGCTAACTGAATCACAGAAGGCAAATCTCGTGGCTAGAACTTTATTAAAGAGCAATCCCTTCATATGTAATAAAAGGAACCCAGGGCTCTAGGATTTCCTCCGAGACAAGTTTTGTGCTCCCAAAAAGCTCCTTAGAAGGGCTGTGAGCAGTTTGCTCAGTGTCAGGAGCACAGACAGAAGACATTCAATAAACTACAGACTACTTTTCTCAATCAATACAATTAGTCAGCCTAATCATGCTGACCTGAGCAGATAAACCCTATGAACAAACAATTCTTTCACAGCTGCCTCAGTAGTTCACTGTCCAAGAGCACACCCACAAACCCAGAACAAGAGAACTCATTCAATAAGGTCAGTTTGGGTATAGCATCCAACAGCCCAGACCAAGATAAAGGCTGTTACCTAAAGCTCGGTGGGGGACCTTTTCCACACCCACCTCTTAAGGGCCACTGCTCCACCAGGAGGAGAAAGAATCTAGACCGAAGCTGGGAAACTGAGCAGTGTTTTCAACTGTGCCCAAATTGCATTCTGATGTAAAGGACATCTTTCATGAATCTTCCTCCAGGGAAGTTCTGGGACCGAGCTCTCAGAACAAAAATGATAAACAATTCAAGAGTGACACAAGGACGCAGAGCAGGCAAAACCACTTCACCAACATGCCCATTGCCAAGTGGCACAAGAACGAAGGCACCGACAACTAGCTGGGAAAGGCAGCCTGGTCACGCAGGGCACATTCATGAACGTCCCCAAAGTAATAGAGACTACCGTGTTAGGTAAACTCAGTATGGAAGATAGAGGAGAAAATACGGACAAGAACCACAGAGGGCAAGATATGGAGAGAATGGTGCATTAGTCAAAATCACAAACCTTTTAGAGTGGGCTGTTGAAATGTTAGCACCACCTTTTAAAATGTTTATTACTTGATAAACTGTTCACAGGTCTTCAAGCTTTATTTTGAAAATAGTCATAGGATCACAACAGACTCAGAGCTAGAAGAGACCAGTCAGAATCATCTTACAGATGAGGAAACTGAGGCCCTGCGAGGTTAATGAGTGACACAGGCAACGGATCAGAAGTGGGATTTGAACCCAGAACCCGACTCCAGAACGAGTGTTCTTTCCACTCGTACCACAGTGTTCTCCATTTCAGAGGCTCTACACTGCATGTCGACACATAAGCAATGACATCATTATTCCCTGGTCTTAGGCAACAATGACCAAGCCAAGGGCTCGATCCAGTAGAGACCAGTCCGCATCCCTTGCTGCACAGAATGCGTGCGCCTTTATAGGAGACAGCCCTGCTGTATACAAGCTTCAGGACCCAGCTTTATCAATGAGTCATGCAGATGACATAAGGACTAAACCAGTAAAGTCCTGAAACCTGCCACTCGTAACACTCGGCACAACTGGGTTAGGAAGAGCGGCCAGAGGAAACCAAACAGCTATCGCAGCCATAGCAGCGCACTGCACCTCGAAGCACAATCTCAGACTTCACTGCTACCCAAGATGTTCCAGTCAGTGAAATGCTGTTGGTGTGCAAGGATGGGACAAATAAAACACATACAGAAACCAAGGCCTGTGGCAGTCGTTCTAACAACACTGACACCATCTCCAAACATGGAGGTTAACACAGTAAACACACTTTGCACAAAAGAACGGCATATTCTTTTGCTAGCAAACAATTTCTTTGTCTTTTCATGAAGTTTCTTCCACACTTTTGAGAAACCACTGGCAGCTTGGGGGCGAAAACCATCTGACCTTTGAACAACATAGACCTTCTATGACTTCCTTTGCCCCCTTTGGCTCTTTGATCTTGACATGCAGCTCTCACAAAAGGAGCGGAGCTAACAATAAAACAAATCAGCCCATAAATGGCAAGAGGGCCAGTGGGTAAATGTTGAACAGTACAGGTACATCAAAGCCTCACTGTAACTCTCTTCTCAGTGTCTACACTGTGCATGAAAGCTTTAAGGAGGCTGTATTTTTCGTTCCCACATACCAGATGGAGTTCAAGACAAATTCACCCGATGCCAAATTCACTGACAAAGCAGAAGAAAGAACAAGGCCCCACTTTAGTGGCAAAACTGACTGGAGATTACGTTAATTTTGCTAAGCTCACTTCGTTCAATGCCTTGGCTGCTATGAACTCTGGTTAATCATTCTTGTACTATGACATAGTCTTAGAGGGTAATCAACAGGCAGTATGTGGATGCTCCATGAGACTAATTCTCTTACTTCCAGACCCAATGGCAGGCTCAGATCGACTCACCCCATTAGCTGTCTTACATCTATCAACACTTCACAAATTCAATGACGGCATGCACACAGCTCACAGAAATGGAAAGTGTCCTCAGTGTAAAGGCACACTCACACTGCTGGGAGGCTTTACCTAGCAACCTCTAAGCTCTTAATGCAGATGAAATTTTTATTTTGTTATTGTGGGAAATTAACATATTGATCCCTTTTCCTAAAACAGTTTTTCTTGTTTTCTAGGCTAAAATTTTCATTAAGTACATGGAAGGCAGTGTAAAACAAGATGAACTACAGAAATGTGCCCCCAAACCTGAGACAGAATATGAGCCTACATAGGATCAGGATAAATGACTTTGTTTGATGACTATTCTTTCATGCTATTAGCTAATCTTTCACTTGAAAACTTAAAAAAAAAATCACACCTGAATAGTGACAGGTAAAAGACCAAACAATTTTGTTCGATCTGTTATTCTACCAGACAAGGGTTCAGGCACAGCGAACTCAAAAGTATGCATATTTCAACTACCTCCTAATTAGACTTCTCCATTTTTAAAAGTTCCACCCAAGATGTTACACGCATTTTTGCACTACCTGGGTTGTCATTTTGGACCCTTCAGGTTCCAGATGATGACATAGAAACTGGAGACTGGAAAACCTGAGAACTCACTGAAAGGTACAAAAGCTTTCGTGGACTTGGAATGGAGAGAACTTTTCCCTTTGGACAGCCCTGGATTAATGGATTCATCATATCAACCTCTGACAACCTCCAGGAGGTATTCCAGGGAGTTGGTGTCTCAATGATGAGCAGCACTGTGGACACAAAATTAGGGAACAGATTGAACTACAAACCAACCCACATCCTGCATGGAACAAGAAGCAGTAAGAATTCTCTCTGCACTTGTAGTGGCATCCATATACAAAACACGTGTTGACATATTCCATAAATTTGTAGGAGGCATTTCCAATACCTCAACATCGTACCAGCAAGTGTGAGATATAACATATTTGTGCCAGTAACTGGCACTGTAGGCCAACCTCAGCACTACAAAGGTTGTGCATAAGATCAATGCCTAACCTTGGGTTGGTACATGTCTTAAAACTACTATCTGATGATGGGGAGAGGAAATATCCCAGATAGAGGTGGTTAACTCAGTGAATGCACTAAGAAGAGCTGGCTGTTCCTCCCACAGTAACAGACATAGCAGTCTATAATAGACAAGAGAATGTGAAGAACATAGGAAGGGAAAGATTCCCATGCATGGGCACTGTCACCCTGGACCCCTGGATCTTGCTCCAACAAACTTTCTCAATCTGTTGAGTGCATCAGATTTTGGTAGCTGGAGGAACATTCCCACCAATGGATAGGATTATGGCCCAAGAGCACCCCAGACCCCAGTTATTACTTCATGGTGTGCTGCTGCTGCATTCCACAGAAAAATCCACAGAGGAATACAGGGTGGAGACAAGGCCTATTTCGTTTTTAAAATCTTAAAAAGTTCATTATTTCAGGATATCACTTCATAAGTTAAAGGGGAAAGTTCCACCGAGATAAAGCACAACCAAAAGAATCCTCCTGCTAAGGTTCTGACCTCAAATGAACCATTATGGAGCCACGCCATCGACTTTAGGCAGACAAATCAATCTCACTTGGAATTCAGTGATGTTTCAGAAACCAAAGGGCTTTTAAGAAGCTTGTCAGTTATTTATTCAGATAAAAACATAAAGCACTAAATGGAGAATTGTCCCCACTCTCCTTCCCCACCCCCAAATATACGTGAAAGACAAGGAATGGATTAAGAAAAGGAAAAGAGGGAAACGGAGTAGTTTGTTTCTTCTAGACGTCGGCAGGGTGCCGTGGAGTCTCTTCAGGATGGCACTCTGAATCCATTTCCCTTGCCATCGTGGAACTGAACATTCAGGTGTTTCCTAACAATCTTCTCCCCTTTACTTGCCCAGGACAGAAGCAGGAGTCAAAAAGTGACAAACGTGGGCACTTAGCACTTTTGCAAATACTGATTTCTCTTTCCTAAGGAACACAGTATAGTAAAAGTGATTTTTCCTCATAGAAGACCCACTTCCCCCATATTCTCTATATGCATGATTAACACATGGCCCACAAAGATCCCTCCCCTTCTTTAAACATTTCCTAAAGAATTGACAACATTTGACAAACGGCAGCTTTATACCGAAGCGAGGCTGTAGAGGCAGTCAGTTAAGGACTAAAATGGTTTGAATTTGTATGCGGTGCAGATGAGAACGACAGGAAAAAACCAAACAGGCCGTTTCTGAGCAGGGCCTAGAGAACGTCCCAGGCTGGCCTGGGTAACTACGACAGGGACTTGCCATTGGTTTCTAAGATTATCACTGCACCAGACTCCTAAGCTCCAAACTGTTCAGTTGAAAACAGCATCAAGCCAAGACCACCATGAGTAATATCTCACAGAGCTCAGAAACCACAGAGGAATTCCTGTTTGTTGGCCATGACTTATGAGGAGTGGGCAAATCACACAACTTAGCCTGCCTCTTTCTCCTTCAAGCCTTTCCACACTCCCGATGTCGGAAACCTGCCCTGGTAGGACACATCTTCTCAAAGACTTTCTGCTAATGTTCTTGCCTGTCAGAGGCCAGAGTTTGACTCTTGGTGCCATGGGAGAAACAGGTTTCTTTCTTAATCTCATCCCCCTGACAGAAACACAGCCTGCTGCGCTGCCCTAGCTCTTTGATGGTGATGCAGTATTACTGAAGACACGGACACACCTGGAGTTCTTTCGAGGACAGCATCAACCACTCAGAAAATTTACCCCTTCTGTATCTATGACCTCAAGGTCACGCTCAGCTTGCGAGGGACAGAAACCACTCTTGTTTTCTCTTTTTTTAAATACTGTCCACAACTATCAAGGTTTTGTTTTGGAGTGTGCATGTGCGCGCGCGCGCGCATGTGTGTGTGTGTGTGTGTGTGTTTAGTGGTCTTAAATAGCCAATTCTGACTTTTTTTTTTTAAATGAGAAACCTTGGTATAATAAAATTCAGTCAGTCCAATTCCCACCCCCGAGGATAGCCCTTAAAAATAATGAAGGAGTAGGACAGAGCTTAAAGAAGACTGAGAAAGACAATTCTGTGTCTGCAAGAAAGCACTGCACATAAAGCAAGAGCAGCATCACGCTGTGGAACAGCAGGTGAACTCCAGGCATGACACGCTCTGCGCGGCTTCAGACGCGTGAGTCCGCGTGAGGGACGTCCAATCCACTGCGCTCCTGCTGCGTAGCTAAAATGAGGAACTGACATCCAAAGCAAACCAAAGCTCAGAGCATTAGGAGGGGGAACGCGAGCGCAGCCGGGGAGAGAGGAGACCCCGCCCAGGCCCGACGCACTTCACGGCCTTGGCTCTGCTCCTCTCACACATCGAGGCGTCACCGTGGTCTCCATCTCCTGTGCTGAGGATCCTGACTCCAAGCATTAAGGCTTCCATGAAAACATATTCTTGATCCAAGGACAGAATGCAGACAACGCCCCCTCTGCTCCAAGGCTGCACGCACACCGGGATGGATGGGACACTGGGATGTCATCAAGCGCCGGTGAAAACTGCCGAGCCGGGCTCTCAGAGGGGCTTCCCTCCCCACCCCCCACCCCCCACGCAACACAGATCAGGCAAGTCAGTTTCCCAGCCTTTTCAAAGGGACAAAATTTCAAAGTCTTCATCTTCCGAATCAAAAAACCTTTCCAGTCTCTCTACGTCGGAAGAGTCTAGGGGAGAGAAAACAAACGTGTCAGGTCAATGGAGTGTTTGGGTTGGGTGGGGATGGGGTAGAAGAGAGAGGGACATGAAGAGTCCTAGTAAAACCAACAGTCACTCCTTGAGTACTTATTGTGGGCAGAGCGCTATCCTAAGGGGCCATGGGGGTTTATAAAGCTTAAGATCAGGTCCCCGCTTTCAGGGAGTTTATATTGTAACTGAGGAGAGAAGACATACATGTACGTGAAAAGATCACTATCGATGCATATATTCTAACTGAATGAAACAATAAAGAGAATTTCGTAGGGAAGGGTTTCCAAATAGTGAGGTCAGGAAAGGCATATGGGCTGAGCTAGAACTTCAAAGGAGACAGTATGGGCCCGGTGGGAACCCACGCCACGAGGCATACTCAGAAAACGAGGAGGCCCTCAGAGGCCGGCTCCTCCAACCCCTCATTTTCTAGGGGAGGCTTCTCAATAAGCTGCTGAAGCAGAGCCAGGACGTGAAGCCCAGAGTGTTCCTCCAATTGCAAGTCAAGACCATTGTCTACCAGGCCATGCTGCTTCTATTTGAGGGGGATCAGAGGGATGAAATGCTATGAGTGGGGAGAACAGTCAGGAAATGGAGAAAACAGGATGGTGGGAAACAGATAAAAATCAGAAGCAGCAAAATATCTTTTTTTTTTATTGAGAAGTAAAAAGTAAACTGGAATTTACTGACCCAATGCTCAAAAAATATAACTACCCTAAATACGATGCTTGATGTAAACCTTGCCACTAACCAAAAAGAGGAAAATGGTATGTAATGAGTTCATAACATCATGGATAATGTCTACTAGACCTATGGCTGAATTAAAGGACAATGTGCCACACACTCTTAGACATTACTGCTTTATGTCAAAATATCAATGGAGGCTTAGGATTAATGACCACTTATCCAAACACATGTAAAATCTCCATACAAATTAGTCAATTAACCCAAGCGTCTGGGTAAGTGAAAAATGGAAACGATAACAGGAAATCACAGACCGCAACACAGACTACAAAGTAATGAGTCCATAGGAGGATTTAAAATAAAACAAAACAAAACACAAAATCCCACAAAAATTCAGTAGAGATCTATCTACAACTTTCTTCAATATTCAAATAAGTAAAGACAAAAGTAAAGAAAAAATAGCTGCTTATTTCTCTGGGCCAAAACCACAGATGTATATTTAAAAAAATGTGCAGGGAAAAATTCAGACTAGAATGTGGGCCTAAGCTTTGAAATTTTTCAGGGTCTTATTTCTCCCTGGCTGTGTCATTCAAATGAAAGTTCAAGCGTGAGCAGTTAATAGCCAAAAGCAAAAGGGTGTAGAAAAAGAGCCACTGCAAATGCCACAGGCTCCCACATCGTCTGCTACTGGGACAACATGGAAGTTACCTAGTGAGAGGTTGAGAACGTCTGGGCACGAGAAGTGTGAAGGCTGCCGCTCGACCAGCTCAAACATCGGCAGGGCTCCTGGGATTCGAGATAACTGTGAGGAAAGCCACGGAAAGAAGCTTCAGAATAAACCTGGTCCCGTCCACAAGGCTCCAGAGCCAAAGGTATGCCCAAGATCTGGCATCTGGAGCAAAAGGTGCCAATGAGGCGTGCCCCACTGGAAAATTCTGTATTATTTTCCACAAGGATAATCTTTCGTCAAATCTCTTCAGTTATTTATAACTTACGTAACTGTGCCACAAACGTGAGGCAAAGATTTAATGTAAAAATGACTCAAATTCAGAGCAAATTTCATTATCAGCATTACTGCCGCTATCATCTCTACACCTTTAAACTCCTTTTAATACATAACTCAGGATAGTTGTTCCCAGTTTTACCCGTTTCTTAAGAAATAAAGATTCTGATTTTACAGAGACTTGTTCATGCAGAACTGAAGAGAAGAAAGACAAACCTTTTTGACTTGTTGGCACCAATCACTGAAGTCTTCCTCAGTCTTGCAGAAAAATCCCTAGAACAGACATCTAGTTTAAGTGGAGATGTGGAAACACAAACCAAGATGAACACTGGCAAACATCTAGCCCAGGCACTAGAATGGCTCCCACCAGCCAGTTCAGCAAAAGGAGCAGTGGAGACAGGCTGGCCCCCCAGTACTCCCTTTTCACAGCCTCAGACTTCTCCCCCTTCCCAATTCTATTGTGATTACACATGTTAATGAAGCCACAAGATCTGGGTTCCAGCAACTGTGTACGTTGAAATGCTTTAAGGAAAAGGTCACTAAAATACAAAAGCCTAAGTAAGACAGTGAGTGCTGCCTATGAATGCGGAAGGTTAGCTTTTTCAATTCTACTAACAATAAAATCAAATCTTAAACCCTACAAGTATTTTAGTTAACATATACAGCTGAAACAGTGCCAAAAGAGAAAACTAAAAAAGACAACTAAACTCAGTGCTTAGCATAAGCGCCTGGCACACAGTAAATGTTTAATAAATAGACACTGATGATTACACATGTATAACTATTATCAAACTGCTTACCATCTCAGGGAAGAGGGGAAAAAATTTGGAACTCTAAGATGAATGTTAAAAATAATCCTCAACTTTCAGCAAAGTCAACAGTCCTTAATCTTAACACCTTAAATAACAAACAGATCACAAACTTGCCACTGAGGCTTGACGGAGGATGGGGGAAACCTTCAATTATCTAGACATCTCATGGAGTGCTTTCTCTGCCAAATGCACAGCAGCCAGAAGTGCCGTGCCTTGCTTTAATGACAATTCCATCATTCAGAAGGTGTGGAAGCCAACGGGGGGAACATCTGTCCTGCAGTGGTGCAGTTCCAGGGACATGAGAATCCTCTCTTTGTCCCACGTGCCAAGCCCTGCTGGATCACATCCCCTCTCAGGACACTCCCCTCCTTGGTCTCCCCTCTCCTCCATCTCTCTGTTTCTCTCCCCTCTTTCTCGGTCTCCTCAAACTCCTTCAGGCAGGGAGTCCCCCTCCACCCCAGCCCCAGGAGCCTGACCTTGGGCCCCTCTCTGAGCATCTGCTTCAGTCCCAAGACTTAATTATTAGCTCAGAGCACAAGGCCCTTTCAACATCCAACCTTGACCTCACATTTCTTCATTCCAAATCAGGAGCACATAGAAGCACATCACTTGGGGATCCCCATCCCTCGATCACTCATTTCTGGACAAACTGGGGGGCATCCCCTGAAGTAAAATGGAAGCTTCTAAAAGGGCAGGAACTTTTGGCTTTTGTAATCTTGGCTCTTTGACACGTTTCACACATAGCAGGTGCTTGATAAACGCGTATGTGAAAAAATAGGGATCATTCAACTCGAGAATAAGTGACAGAGGGGAGAAGAGTAGGGGAAAAGCGATAAATGTCCTTAGATTCCTACAGGTTTAAAAGATAAGGACAATTCTGTGGCCTAAAGAAGGAAGGATAAAAAGCTCTCAAGAATGAAATTTTGGGTTTTTTTTTTTCTAGGCAATAGGGTTAAGTGACTTGTCCAGGGTCTCACAGCTAGTAAGTGTTATGTGTCTGAGGCCGGATTTGAACTCAGGTCCTCCTGAATCCAGGGCTGGTGCTCGATCCACTGCACCACCGAGCTGCCCCTAAGAATGAAATTCTGAAGACATAAAGATGAACAATCCTGCGAAGGAAAAGGGAGAATTGTCTCTATGGACACACAAGGTATTCAATGACCAACTTAGATTTTAAAAGAGGTGAGGAAAAAAGGTCCTCCTAACGAAATGAGGGCTGAATTTTGAAATTTAGAAAATCAGCTTCTCCAAGCATAAGATCAGGGAGGCACCTCTGGATAGGAACTTGACTGAAAAAAGAGTGAGGGATTCTTGTGAACTCTAAAGTTCAAAGCCAGTTAACAGTGAGATGACAGCAGCAACACTCCCCGCCCCCCCCCCCAACATCCATCCTCAAGCTACATGAAAAGACGCAGGTGACATTTGCACGGGAGAAAAGCAGACTCCAGAGGAGCATGAAAGATGTCCAGGGTCTGCAAGACTATCAGGATGAAGAGGGATTGGCCTCATTTTGCTTGGCCCCAAAATGCAAGGCAGAAGCAAATTCTGGGGCAGAAGAGAGCGACCAGGGAATGGGTTCTGGGAGGCTCCGAGCCGGGCAGTCAAGTCTCGCAGACATTTCTAAAAGGCAAACCAAACTTCGGTCTGTGGTTTTGGGAATGCAGACCCCTCCCTGCTAACACAGATGAAAGTCTTCAGTATTTACAAGACGACCTCTGGGAGGTACTAAGGCTGAAAAGTAGTCACTGTTCTGTGGCGAGCCTGGAGAACAGGCTTTGGGAGCTTGCACCGGTCTCCAGACAAGAGGTGCGCAGGCAACCCCTGGCTGAGTAAGGCTGACCAGGACTTCTCAGCCAAAAGGCAAAGCCCGTATGAACCCAGGGTCACCTCCACACCATAAGGCATTAGGGTCAGACTTCAGAGAACGAAGAGACAAAATGGGAAGATGTTCCTTCTCAGTTGGGCAGGTTCATTTCAATTCCAAGGGTTCCCTTTTACTTTTAAGATGTCCTGGCCCACAGGGGTTTTGAGGATCATCCAGATAAACAAGACGGTCCCAGAAATAAAAGTATACATGAGGGGGAAGAACCACCCTCCAGCCTACAGCCACATTTAAAAGAGGCGAGGCAGTAAACACGCCCCCCCTTCCAGGCCCATACCCCAAGGAGGTCAAGGATAGAAAGAAAGGCCAAGTGTGCAGCACTCAGAAAAAATCAGTGCCCACTGAGTGGAGGATAACTGAGACTGGAATCTTGTGTACAAGGAAATGATGACCAGGAGGAATTCAGTGACGTGTGGGAAGATTCACATGGAATGATGCAGCGAGAAGGACTCCCACAACAGAAATGGGACCCCCAAACAAAACGGCCTCCCAAGCAAACACCCTTCCCACTTCACGGCAGGGACAACACGAGGTACACAGCCCGACAAGATTGTAGCACAGCGAGCTTTTCTTCAGCTGGAAAGGGGGTGAGAGTGCGTAGTAACGAGCGTGACACATAAAGAGCGACCACCTAGAGAACACGGCATGGGGTGCTGGGTACGCACCACGGCGATGGAGGGGTCCAGCTCCCCGATGTTCATCCGGCACGGAGGGTGCTGGCAGTGGAAGGTCTCGTCGGGGAAAGCGCCACCTTCGGCCAGCTCCACGGCGGGCTGAGTCGTATGTGGGTCCAGGTAAATCAGCTCCTCCCCTGGGCAAGCAGAGAGGAGAAAATGAGAAAGAGCAAGCAGACCTCCTGCACACGGAGGGAAGGGAGCAGGCAGGGGTGCGGCTCTCCTCACCACATTAAAAGCAACCGAGGGAAAAAGGGGAGAGAGTAAAGAAAGTAAACACTGAATGGGGCTAAGAAAGGAAGAGTCACTAAAACTACAGACTGTCTGACAGGTGGGCAAGCAGCTTCTGGATGGAAAAAAGAGGCTCGTCTAACAAAGCGGGGCTCAGGGCAGTGAGACCCAACTGGAGCGAAGAGACACCCAGAAGGGTCTCCTCTTGGGAGTTAACGTAGAGCGAGCGAGCAATAATCCCTTAGAAAAGGGTGACGCATCAGCTCCGTCTACCTGACACTGGACCCAGCCACGCTTCCGCCCTCGTAAGGAAGCCGGCAATGTCGAGGGCTGGTGTTCTGAAGGAAACAAAACAGAGAGGAGCGTGGAGTGGACGTGTGGGTAGGAGGAGAGTGAACGACTGCAGCATTGCTCCATGGCATGAGCTCAAAGGCACAGGGGTACACTGAGCACTTTTCTTTTTCTCCTTTTTTAAATTTCAAGGCAATCTGGATACCACAGTAATCCAGTGCTGTGGGTGACTCACCTACATATCCAATGAAGTAGTGAGCACTGTTAGGCTTCCCTCCAATTACTCCCAGGGACTGGGGCATCATAAAACAGTGCTGCAGAAGAGACAGGGGCGAGAAAGAGAAAGAGAACCACTGAGACACAATACGTCGATGAGGGCCGGGGAGGAGAAACACAACACCGAGAAAACCAGGATGGCACTGTCGGGACTGGTGGGGATGGGGCTGCCGGGGGCGTGCGCATGCGCTCACACACGCACGCACGCACGACACCCGGAGACCATCACAAGGAGGTTATGGCCCAGGGCTACAGGGTAAAGGACAGCCTACCAGTGACACAGAGATTCAGAAGGGTAAGCTTGGGGAAGGCTTCATAGAGAAGGCAGGCCCTAGAGACGTTACAGGATACAGAAATGGAGGGGAAGACATTGTGGGAAGGGAAACAGCATGACAAAGGGCTAGAGGCAAAATCACCACAGTACACGGACAGCCAAGAGCCTGGCCTAACTCAAGCCCCCGAGATTACGCAGGGGAGCCGAGGGATTTGAGCCCAATGAGCCAGCTGACGGAAAGCCTTGAATGCTAGGGCAAGAAGCACAGGCTTCTGACAGGCTCTGGGGAGGTATGTGCCAAAGCACAACAATAACAAGATAAAAGTAGCATCTGAGGAACCCCCATCTGGCGGTGATGTGTAAGCTGGCTTGGAACTGGAAGAAATTCGAACCACAGAGACCGCAGGCAAGGCAAGCACCCTCAGTGGGCCTCTGCTTGCTGATCTGTAAAATGAGGGGGCTCAACTAGAGGCTCCTGGGGTCCCCTTCAGTCTCTATGACTTATTGGGCAGCTCCTACAGAGATCAGGCCCGAATGCCATCAGCTTCAAACAGGGTGGGCGGGGGGGGGACAAGAAGAGCGGCATCCTTTAGAGAAACTGAGGTCAAGATGGACTTCATGTTTGGAATGAGAAGGGTGGTGACAAATAGACAGAGGAGAGAGAAGATCCTGAAAGTGGGATGTAATTTACAACTCCCCAAAGAGAAGTCCTTAATATCCCAAACCCGATCGCAGAGGCAAAAGAGCTCCATGAATCTGTAAAGTCAGCGAGTTCTGACTGGCCCTACGCACGTGGTCAAGCTAGGGGAAACATCTCATCTGTTCAATGCTCCAACTTCTCCGTCAAGTATCACAGCTCCAAGCGCTGCGAGACTTTATAAATGACTTTAGGCCACTCTGGTGACCCTCGGACCCAAAGACCCTGGGCTCCGGGCCAAGTTCATCAGTTAATTGTGCGGCCTGTTAGCGATTCAAAGTGTGACTCAGTGTCACCTCCCTACTATTTCCTCGCCTGTAAAATGAAGGAGTGGGAAGAGATGGGTTCTCCAGCCTCTTTCACCCCTAACACTTATGCCTTATGTTTAACCATAATGTGAAGTCATCAAAGTAAATAAGCCGAGCTGGATGAAGTGCCGTGTCCAAACCAGCCCTGCCAGCTCACACACTCTCCACCCAGCTCCTGTGGCAGCACAAAAACGACCGTCCAACCGAGTGGTTTGGGTATTCAGCATGGCCATGCGTCCTAGGACCAAATAACTGCTATTTCAAGTACCGGTTTAGAGGCAGAAGGAAAGCGTGCAACCAACTATCTGATGCTGCCTCAATGTTCCTCAACGCAGCCGTGCTTCAGGCCAGAGCAGACTCCTACTCCCCAAACCCTACCTTTAGGGTTTCCGTGTAAGCTTCATTGATATCGGTGAGCCCAAGGCGGAGAGGGATCAGCAGCACTAGAGGTTTCCACTGTGACAGCTGGTCAGTGACCTCAGCTCCCGTGGGGTACCCATTAGAGAGCAGTTCTGAGTCTGGAGGAAATGCAGCAGCATCTGGGCGTGCAGAATTGGCCTTGCACAACCTCCCTAAAAAAGGGAAAAAACAATATATGAGGAGCACGAAGGCTATAAGCTCAAAACGAACATTTAGGAACTCCAGGACGCATTTAACGCACAAGAAACACAAAGTTCACACTTCCTACTGAGTCTGACTGTCTCATCATCAGAGGGCAAACAGAGGACTTCTCCTTGGCCCTGCCCACTCCTCAAAGTGCCTTCTGACCTACTTTAAAAAGCTCATGCCCAGCCTCTTTCATTGGTCCATCGTCCTCTTCCTGCTCCCTGTGGCGGGGTGCCCCCCTTGGTGAGCACCGTCACCCCCATAGCTTACGTCTGCTCCCTCAGATGAGAGATCGTTTCCTTTTTTTGGATCTGTAACCCTAGCACTCAGCACAGGGCCTGGCTTGGGGTAAGTTCTTGGTGACCAGTGTCTCCCAAGTCTATAGATTCAATCACCATTTTTTCCTGAGCTCCTCCTACAACTCCAAACTGCCTGCTGGACACATTCCCTTCCCCCCACTGGCTAGCCTCCCAGGACCTCAAATGCAACATGTCTCCAACAGACATCATCATTCACCCTCCTGACCTGGCCTCCTCCTCTGAGCTTCCCTCTTTGTGTGTCTGTCGCCCCAGGGGCACCTCAGCTTCCTTCTCCTTCGACCCCCTCCAACCAATCAGTCTCCAAGGCCCAGTTACTCCAGGACACGCTCGGTGGCTCTCCCCTCTTCCCACAGCCCTGGCTGAGATGACGACTTCTAAACTGCTCTGCCTGCCTCCAGTCTCCCCTGTCACCAAGCAGTCCTCTTCTCACTTGCCAAAATAATCTTCCTAAAGCAAAGGTCAACATTCTTTCTTACAATCACATAAAATTGGACTGATGTAAGAAATGAGTAACAATTTAAGAGTTATTCAAAAGGGAAATGGAGGGGCAGCTAGGTGGCGCAGTGGATAGAGCACCAGCCCTGAAGTCAGGAGGACCTGAGTTCAAATCCAGCCTCAGACCAAACACTTGACACTTACTAGCTGTGTGACCCTGAGCAAGTCACTTAACCCCAACTGCCAAAAAAAAAAAAAAAAAGGAAAATGGGCTGTTTTGACAAGTACTGGGTTTCTCTTTACTTGAAGTATTTGAGCAAAGGTCAGATGTTGACCTGTTGGGCTGTGAATTCTTGTTAAGGTACCAACTGCACAAGACTGCCTCTGAAGTCTTCTCCAGCTCACATTCTATGATTTTGTAAGACTCTGGATTCTAAAGTACTAATACATAAATTCTAGTATTCAGGCAACTCTTAAAAGCATTCATTTCAGCCCTTTTAAAGATTTAAATTCTTGCAAAGGTGGTACCTATATTTTCAAATTCTTTTTTATGAAATCTGCCCTGAGAGGAGTATTTGGATAACAACGGTCTGATGGTGAGTCTCAGCTGGATGTCCATGGCCATCATATTCCTGAAGGACGAGCCGCTTGGGTAAGAGAAGTACTGAGTACCTGATACGCCAACATTTCACGGATGAAATGTGACCTAACAAGTGTCTGAGAATCTCTAAGTGGGTTACATTTGTATCCAGCTGTATCAATACACAGCAAAACGCAGGCCACTCTGAATCGTCCTTCCTTCCTTCACTCTCTCCCTCAACCTGCAAAGATCATTTTTAAGAAAGGTCCGTGTATAGGCCATGTACAGGCCCTCCCTCCCGCCCAGCTCTCCAATGCTCTCACAGGAGTCCTCTGGGTTTCCAACTGATTTTCTTTTATTTTGCTGAGACTAGAAGTATTAGCAGGAACTACATTTCACTTTCACGTTGGGCACTTCTGTTTGTCAGAGTTCAGGACACTAGCCACCTCCAAAGCACGGCTGCCCCAGCGCTAATACAAATGCAGAAATCTGGCCCCTCCTTCACACCAGCACTGTGGGACACAGGCTGCCACCCTCAACCTTGCTTTGGTTTGAGGTTTCCTGAGGACCTATTTTACTTTAAGATAATTTTCCACTCTCCCTTCCTCCTCAAAGTACCCGCCCTGTGATGCTAAGAGTAGTTTTCCCTCCATGCTCTACAATCCGTCTGGTCCCAAGTTTACAGTTAAGGTTTGTCAACCACCTGGATTTTGTTCTGATTAATCTGAGGCTTCCTCCAGTTAATTTTGCCTCTACTGCATCTCTCAACACTTCAATGACTTACTTATCTCCTCCATCACCACAGTGTTGTCCATTGCTATGTGGACGGCCAATGAACTCCATGTATCAAAAACAGCAAGTTTCCTGAAAATAAACAAGGGTGGGAGAGAAATAAGCAGGCCAGCGGGCTCTTGAACAGACCCCATTACACTTGTTTCTCTTCCCTTTGATTCTTGAGGTGAAAAGCTACAGTGACCCAGTGCAGCAGAAGACAAGCAGCACAGCCACTGAGTGGACAGGACAAAACCACCATCAAGACATAACTCCCACCGGAGAGCCACAAGCTACATTTCAGGAGGGGCGGCAGCCCCGACCTGTCCGGCTAGGGACCCTGTCTCTTGGCCTTCTCAAGCCCCTGCCGTCTTTGGGCTCTGGCCGCCTCTTTTCCTATTACTGCTCTAGGAGTGACGAGCAGCCTCTAACTGTTCAAGTCAGGAGTAGGTGACCATGCCACAAGAGCAAAACTGTGCAGAATGAACAGACAGGGTTGGCTCCTGAGGAATGAGACTGAGCCCCTAAGCCACCCACCCAAATCAGGCTCATTGTTTTAACTGGACATAGATCAATGACATGCAAAATCATTACTGTACTACTGCATGGTAACCAGGCATAAATGATCAGCAGTTTTCACATACAGAACTGAAATTAATATTTTTTTAAAAGCCAAAAAATTTTTAAATTTACTTTCTCCTGGTAATTATTCCTCCAGGGTCTCTAAATATCAGTGTTCAGTTTCTTTAACATGTAAAAAACTGGCACTCCCATACCCATAAGAGACAACTGTCCTCTATCCAACTCCGCTACAACAGGGGCTCCCTTCCCTGATTCTCCTTTCCCCCCATCCCCAACATCTGAAAGGGAGTTAAGAGAAGAGAAGAAGACATCCAGGAACAAGGATAGGGACAATACAACCCAAGAGCCCTGCCATCCAGAAGGGATGAAGCGAAAGAATGGGAGGGGAGCATTTAGGGTTAAAGGAAGTGTCCGATGAAGAAGGAAGACGAAGGGTTAGACACAAAGTAGGGATCTGTGCTCAGGTGTGGGAGGCTCGAGATTTCCATTCCGAAGCAGCAAGAATGCAATGACAAGAGGATAGATCTAGAAACTACTAAGAAATAAGCCCTCAGTAGCTATAGCCTAGGGGAACAAAGCAGAGCACAAGACTCTTTGGACTCAGGTTATCCAGGTCCTATGATGAAAGCATTGGTAAGAGGATACAGTTAACCTCGAAGGCTGGTTTGCCTTAGGGCTTCAGGCACGTTGTGAAAGAAAGATTTTTTTAACAGAAGACAAAGCCTTTCATCCCACAATAAGAAAGAAGAGACTTTGAAAACAAAAACAGGTGCAGCTAGGTGGCGCAGCGGATAGAGCACTGGCCCTAGAGTCAGGAGGACCTGAGTTCAAATCTGACCTCAGACACATAATACTTCCCAGCTGGGAGACTCCGGGCAAGTCACTTAACCCGAAATGCCTCACTAACAAAAACCCCCAAACCAAAAACAACCAGGAGAGGAATAACACGTTAATGTAAGTTTTAGTCTAGGCGTACTTAAATAATAATATCAGAACCCTCAAAGTGGCTTATTAGCTTGACGGAAATGATGCCACTCAAGGGAAAAAGAAAGGCGGAAAGGCCCTGAGCCTTCCTCCCCTCCCTGATTCTGCCCAGGGCTTGCTCTTTTCTGCTCATCTGTGAATAGTCATTCACTTCTTTGGCCAGCACCACCACATGTGACCAGTTTGGAGGTGGTGGGGAGACAGGCACACTATTACACTCTTGGTGGAACCGGACATCGACACAGCCATTCTGGAAAGCACTCTGAAACACCACCCAAAATGCTGTGCATCCCCTTTGGTCCAGTGAGACAGCTACTAAGTCCATAATTCAGAGATCAAAAAGAAGCAGAAAAAGACCCAAACATATAAAAATATTGATACCAGCTCTTTTCGAGATGGGGAAGAACAGCAAACTAAGGGCGTGCCCATCAAGTGGAGAATGGATGAACAAGTTACAGTATATGCATGTGATAGAATACTAGTGTGCTGTAAGATAAGAAGGGGATGGTTTCAGGGAATCCCAGGAAGACTTGTATCAACTGAGGCAAAGTGAGGTGAGCAGAACCAGAATAACAATATTATAAAGACAAATAAGTAACCTTGAAAGACATGGGAACTCTGATCAACACAATGCCCAGACATAATTCCAGAACTCATGATGAAATCTGCTGCCCACCTGTGGACAGAGGGGGATGGATGCAGAGGCAGTCTGAGACATTTGTTTGGGACATGGCCAACGTAGTCATTTGTTTTGCTTGACTACACATGTTTTTAACAAGTTTTGTTTTTCTTGCTTTCTCAATGTAAGGGAGGGAGATGAGAAGCTGAGAAAGAGATAATGAAGACCTGAAGATAAAATAAAATTGATTTAAAAAAAAAAAAACACCTTCCTAGCCCCTGGGGGATCACGTACCTCAACAGCATCGAAGCCCATGCTGCTTGAACTGAGCTCTCAGACATTCCATGATCAGAGTTGTGGATCCATGAGAAAATTTCAATACTAGTAACACGGAGCTTTCTAAAAGTTTAAGGTTTTTTTTTTTTAATTTCAGTGGGAGAAAACAGAAGAGACAGAAAGCTTGAGAAGCCCAAGATGGCACCTGCAGACAGAACGAGTGAGGCAGAGCCGGGCCAGGCCAGGCTGAATAGCCCAGGCTGGGTGAGGGGAGTTGACAGCCTTCCTGACTTCATCTGAGAATTCCTGGGCTTCCTTAGGAGTGAGTCTGTGAGTCCAACATCCTCTTTCCTTCTTCTTCTTACCTGTCATTCAATTCCGGAGAAAGGGAAGGAGTCCAACCTAACCTCTCTTACATCCTCATTCCCCACAAACGGTCACAGGTCAGTTCCCACAGAAGGCCCCCTTCCCACAGACACCAAGCAGGCTCTCACTGGCAGCCACGCTCTGAGCATAGGCTACGTCAAAAGGGTTCTTCTCTGCCTTTCAAGTCATTCTGTCCCAAATGCCACAAATATAAAGATCATTTATCAAGTTCACTGAACACATATGGACCAGTCTGACAATGACACCTATAGTCCCCACCCTCAGACCACCTGTATTTGTGGGTTGTTTCAATATAATTCGAGCCCAAGTGCTTCATGACCAAATTAGCTTCAAAAATACTGTTTTATGTTGTTGGGACACAGCTATAAGAGTGAAATTTTAGGCATTAGCCAGCAGATGGGGAAATCTATGGTGAAAGAAGAAGAGAACTAAGGTCTTCCTACATCCCCTGAAATCACAGTACTGAGAGCCTACTCGTAAGACAAAATACTATAGGATTTCAGTCAATTTTGTTCTCATTTTAAGCTGGAAAACACTCTAGGAATGATTGATTAATCACTTGGAAAAGCACGGAAAGGGCCCCTTCAACAAATGTTAAGGGTAACAATGTTTTTTTTTTTAATTACTTTAAAACAATACTAACAGTTGAGCATGTTTTCTGATGCTCTTATGGCCTAGTGAAAAGCTTGAAAGAGTTTTTCAAAATCGAGTTCCATTACTGCTTTTCCTAAAAGATATGAAAAAACAAAATAAAAGTTCAGTACATACTTGAGTACTTGTGCGACTGTGTTTGGTCCGTACCACTGGCCTATAGATTTGCCCTCTCCGACTCCCATTTGAGCTGCATCAAAAAGAATCAAGTTAGTCACGTTTATATCCTTCTTTTTTCTAACATCCCTTAGGAACATAGCTGAGTCTTACTTGGAATGAGGTGTTTTAGAAACCTGTGTAACAAACATTCACAAAAACTACTAGGCAAAGGAAAGGGACAGGAAAGAGCTGCTCTATTTCCACTCAAAGAGAAGGGCGGTCTTGTCAGGAGGCAGAGATTGTGGCAAAGCTATGGAAAGGGGATGAGATGGGGGTCACAATAACAGCGCTGACCTCTCACGGCTGTGAGGGAGGATAATATCTGTATAGGCAGAAAGCGCTAGCTCCCCACAGAAAACAAAGCCAAGTAACATCCTCACCCCAAAGGCAATACTTTTTACACGTGGCTTCTTCTCAAACAGCAACATGCCACCATTCTTGTCAGGGCAAGTCCCTCTTTATTAGTTAAATGTGCTGCCGACATCAGCCCTGCAGAAGGCTCCGCCCTCTGAGGGGCTGTTCACAGAGAGCTCCTAGAACAGAAGCCCCTTCCTTTATGAGATGGGAGCACAGGCACTCTCCTATTACAGAAGAGGAAACTGAGACACAGAGGCATGCTGGGTCCTGCACAAGGTCGCAAAGTCAATACCAGTCAGAGCTGGCACCTGAATCCTAGTTTTCTGACTCCAAATCCCACGTGCCTCTAATCACACCAGCCCAGAAAGTTAAAGATGTTCCTAGACGAGAAAGGAAAAACCCGCCGGCTCTCCCCAAGGAGCTGCCGACCCCCCAGATGCCTTTCCTACCTATCTGGTGGATGGAGTACCAGCTGTCCTTCTTGTCAGTGAAGGCGTTGAGAACACGGAAGTAGCTGTCCATCTGCCTCCTCCCCCGCTTCCATCTCCAGTCTATTAGAAACACACACCGAGGTCAGGGTCGCTGAAAATCTTCACTGAGATTTTGTGATACTAACCAATGAGAAACAGCCTTGGCAACACAGAGTGAATGTAACGTAAAAGAGAACATTTTATCTCAAGCTGATTCACCCACAACCAGAGAAGCAGCAGGAGAAAGAGGTGAGAGGGGCAGCAAACTGGACAATCCGGCCACAAACAGCGATGAGGCGACTTAGTGCGAGGCAGAGCCCCTTAAGACACAGTATACGCATGCCACTAACAGGGATGACTCCATTCCTATGAGTTTAATCAATGCCCAAGTCACTCCCATAGTGTTCAGGTGCCCAAAGGAGAGGGACAATCAGAACATTTCTACAGGGTGACAAATGGGGCCCAGCCCAGAATTTAAATTCAGCTTACGGAGAGGAAGAGGCCTACGGGGAAAAAAGCCTGCCTGGCTACAAAGCAAGCACTTTTCCTGAGAAAAGAGAGCTGGGCTAAGTAAAAACAAATGTTACATCACTTTTTCACTTCTTTTCCATCTTTCTATATCCATGTTTGTAAAAATCGTCAGCTGCTCAATGGTAGAGAGACAAGCAGGCAGATCACGCACGCTAAACAATCACATGGCTTCCACGAATCATAAGAGTGACTCACACTTGATTCACGGTTACAAAGAGCAAACACATCTATTGTCTGAAATTTGTTGAGCGCCCAGAGTGCAAAAAGACAAATACCTGAACTGCTTTTAGGACCATGCTAGAGATGCAACTGATGGTCTCTGAGAAAGGAACTAAAAGAGCTGATCAAATGTCACTGTACCATCATGTTGTAGTTTTCCGTTTGGCACAAAACAGAGTCACTTAAGCCTTTTTCTGAAGTTAAGGGCCAACTCTTCAGGCTCTGGCTCTGACTCGGAGCTCTCTCTCTCTCTTTCTCACTCATACACATACACCCTACCCTTATTTCAATGACCTCATAAAATGTGCCAGTTGATGTCTGATACATAAAAAAGCTTTCCTTTCAACAGAGAATTTATGGAGAATGGGTTTTGTATTCATTAAAGTGAAAAGCAGATATGAAAAAAAAAGTGAGAAAACTGATATATTTGATTTCTGATAAAAAAGTATTAAATGCCTCAAAGATATACATGAAAACATTTCAAAACTTATACTACCAGACAAGAACAAATCTGAAGCCAAAAGTGCATAACTTTACTGGTTTAGAATTTCTTAAAAACAAATGTATACTTATCAATTTAATTTTAAATCCCGGAAAGATCTGCGATGAATTTTATGCGCTACTAAGCCCTTCTCTTAACCATGTGCTATACTTCTTATCAAGAAAAACAAATTTGTTATATTTGTTATATTTGCAAATAGTTCTTTTTCAGCACTCTAGTATACAAAACTGTAACTCCTTCCAAAGATGAAAACTGGAAAAAAAAAAAAAAAAAAACCCAACAAAATACAAACACCAGCCCACCAGGCCCCTCCCAAACCACAGACACACACACCAAGTTCTGTAGCTCACCTCTGCCTAGGTGCCTGCAGACTAGGGCCTGAGCAAAGATCATCTGCCCACAGCGCAACATGCAGCCCCAGCCAGTGTCTGAGGTTGGGCCCGTCCCCCCTGAAATCATGAAGAGAAACAGTGTTTAAGGTTCATCCAAGAAGCAGGATGATGGAAGCCAGTCTATTACATGGGCAACTGAGTCTTCGCTCTTTTTGCGCATTCTGTCCAGGTGAATGGTGCTTCTCGAAGTACAATGCTGTGGCGATGTGGCGTGGGAGACCCCTAGGGGATCCTCCCAGGAGATCCTCCCAGGAGGGCTGCAAGGTTAAACCATTTTAATAATGTCACTAAAGAACTTTAATTCCTAATATAGTAAATACTGATATCTATAACCCACACAAACAAAAACTCTTTGGAGGGTCCTCAATAATTTGTAACAGTGTGAAGGGGTCCTGAGACCAAAAAGTTTGGGAACTGTGACGTCAATACACACATACACGTACATATAACATATGCTAACATATTGATGATGACTACTTTTGGCCTACAGGAATTGGGAGAAAGAGGCTCCAAGGACCAAAATACATAATATTTATGAAAATATATCAATCCATTTAAGAGATAAGACTAACCATGGGGCATATGGTTTACATTTTTTAAGTAACAGTTGTGAATCGGTCCAAAGGGCCATTCCCTCCACCCAACAGCGTAGATTTTTAAGATGTTTGGCCAGAATGAAGACCAAGTCTGCAGCGACGGAAGAAAGCACAGTCAGGTCGTGAGGACTGCACTACTAACCTGTGCTTCACAAGTCCCAGGTTCTAGGCAAGCGTGCTCACTGATTCCAGAGAGCTTACTAGAATTGGTCAGAGTAGTATCAGCTGTCGAAATAAGGATAACAACTTCAATACTAACTAAAAATATGCTTAAGGAAGATTAAAGTTTTGTTTACAAATGCCAATCAAAACAAAAATACAACATGGATTCTGCATCCAGTGGCAAGAGCTGCCAGGAGCTATGTGTAACCTTATGGATGGGGATCAAGAACACTGAGTAACTTCCTGGGAATTAAGGGCAATAAGATTAAACTCAAAGCCACTTCCTCTTCAAGCATAAAACTACACTGAATTTCAACACTGGTTAAGTGCCTGCTATGTATGTCAAAGATTCCAAATTGGCCAGCTGAATCAGCTTGCATGCTACTACAGATAACAAGTATCCCATAGAGTTCCACCTGAGGCCTCCTCATCTCTGCACTCAAAAGCCCTCAATCTGGGTAAAGAAACTCCTGACCCCCTCCAATTCCAATCTAAGTGGCTGCTGTACCTGGGCCACGTTGGGACACTTTGGGAGAGCTAAAGTGGTTAGGAACTTTTTCCTTCTACCAAGGCACCCCTTTCTAGGCAGGCTGGCCCTCTACTTGAACAGTCTTCCCGTTATTTCTCCCATGAAGGCCATCCTTGTGTCACCGTTATCTGTGTTATCTGTCTTTAAGCATTAATAAGTCACTCCCATTATCAAGAAACGTTCTTTTCACATTAAAACGTGTTCCAGTGAGATTAAAAAAAAAGGAGGAAACGAAAATAAAACAGCAAGAGTGTTTCAGCTGTTGGGGTGTGACAGAGATAAATAATCCAGTCTTCATCAGCGCCCTCAAGGCCTTCAAGCAACTGAACTCACCTCCTCTTCAAGTCCTGTCTCGGATTTCTGTGCCAACCTAAGTGTACTGGCTGTAAAGATGGGACTGTAAATTAAAGAGACTAATTTAAAAAACACAACAGAACTTAAATGCAGATGAAACAAGCAGCACCTCCTTCAAACAGCACAGTCCTCTTTAGAAGGCTTTAACTTATAATGGTGCTGTAATTCTAGAATCATTGTAACTTCAGAATCTGTAACACAAGAGAATCAACACTGGCAAATCTTGATCCTTTGAGAATGGATTTGATATTGAACCCCTCAGAGTCAACAATATGGATCTTGGCCAAAAACAAGAAAACAACAACAACAACAAAAACCTTTAAAGAGATATGGCTATACTGTAGCCAGATGGGCTTTTTTTAAATGCCTGTTTTGAAAGCCAATCGGACCATCACAGGAACAATTTGGAAAGGAACAACCCTTCTCTGAATGTTTAGGATCTGGTAGAGTCATAATCTACCCAGCCCAGAGCCTTTCCAGGGGCCACCTCAAGCCTATCCTTTCTGACATTGAGATTTCTAGTCAAGTAGAAAGGCTCTCCTCTCCATATGGCCTTTATTAAATGAAGACTCCTCAAGTTATCCCTTCATTTTTTTTTAAACCCTTAGGTTTACCAAAGTGTCCAGGACTAGGGAGGTGATAGTTCTCTTTTATTCAGTCTTGGTTATATGACATCTGGAGTGCTGTGATCAATTCCCCCCCCCCTTTTTTTGGGCTAGGCAATGGGGTTAAGTGACTTGCCCAGGGTGACACAGCTAGCAAGTATTATGTGTCTGGGGCCGGATTTGAACTCAGGTCCTGTGCTCTATTCGCTGAGTCACCTAGCTGCTCCTCTGTGATCAATTCTAATATGTTTTAGGAAGCGTGCTGATAAGCTGCAAAGTATTTCCAGTTAAGCAGCACAGTGCTGGACCTAGAGTCAAAAAGACCTGAGTTCAAATCTGGCCTCAGACACTAGCTATGTGACCCTGGGGAAGTGACTTAACCTAAGTCTCCCTCAATTCTGTCTTTTGTAAAACAGGGATAACAACAGCACCTATTTCCTAGGGCTGGGTGAGGATCAAATGAGATAACATTTGGAAAGCACAACCCTTAAGGCAGGATACAGATGCTAGCTATTATTCTCTGTTTTGGTGATAAGGAGAATAGCAACTATTAAGGTCACAATCCAGGAAGTTAGCCAGGAGAGCCAAGTACCTTGTGCTGACCTTCAGCCCTCAAAAATGCAAATCCCTCAGCAAAACTGACAATGCAAAGCTCCCTCAGGGCAGGCCTACACAAAGCAGGCGAGTCTCTTACACACAAAATCAGGGGCTGGACTAAAGGGCCTATAAGGCCCCTTTCCAGCTCTAATCCACACTCCTGTGTAAAAGGGTCACTGTGTAAAACGAAGCTTGCCCGCATTTTCTCTCTCTCTGTATATCTGCAGTCACTCACCCAGACTAGTAACTAGTCTGTCAGTCAGCTAATTCATTAAGTGCCAACTGTATGCAGGCACTGGATTAAGCTCTGGGACAGGCAGGAAGGCAAATGCCAAGCCTTGCTCTCTGGGAGCTCCCATTCGCGTGGGGGAGACAACATGCTCCTAACTGAGCATGGACAAGATAACACTCGGATGAAATGCTGCTGATCCACAGAGGGAAGGCCCTAGCACTAAGGCGGGCCTTTAGCTGAGCCCAGAAGGAAGCCAGGGAAGCTCGGCGGTGAAGATAAGGATGAACAGGCATGAAGATGCACAGAGTCAGTGTCTTGTGTGGGGACAACGAGGGGGCCAGTGTCACTGGATCACAGAGATGGGGGGGGGGGACGGAGAGAGGAGAAGGGTGTAAGATGTCCACCAAGGTTCATGGCTATGTTTATACTGCCGCCCCAAATGCCTCTCCCTAAAGGTCAGCGCAGCAGTGAGATACAAATTGCTCCTGCTCAGATCCAACACTTTTCCACCTCTTTCTTGGCTGTAACAAAGAGAAGTCTTTATACTTCATCAGAATCAAGAACTTAACAAAAGAATCTAATGTGACCATTAACAATCTACAAGATTTTAGAAAGAAATCTATCTGGCCCCTGTGTGGCCTTGGATATGACCAGTGTCTCTGGTCTTCATCTGTTAAAATGGAGACAGTTGGACCAGATTACCTTTCAGGCACCTTCCAATTCTGAAATATGGAGCTCAATTCTAGAAGAAGACTGAAGTTCTATGATTTAACTGTCTCAGAGATGGGAAACTCTACAGTTCCGGAGGAGCCATGAAATACATTCCTAGCCTGGCTACCAGTTGGACTTAACATCCCACCCAGGACTTGGCGCTGTACTTTGTATACTAGAGGGAGAAAATAATTATGTTTTTTGAAGACGACACACACAAGTGCTTGTTCTCAAAAACATAAGATTAATACTTTTTAAACTATCACATTCTTACATTTTACATGTATTTTAAAATGTATGCATGGGGAAAGAAATAAAATAGCAAGACTAACCCAGGAATATGCATCTTCTCTCTTTTTTTGGAACCTACAATGAAGGAACCCCCAGAAGCAACAGCCCTGAGCCCCTGAGAGTGGCTTGGCAAGGTTCACTGGCTCATGCATGTCAGAGGAGGGACCTAGAGCACCCACTCAGAGAGAGGCTGCATGAACACTACGATTGTACGTATATTAAAACTACTTTGCTTACCAATGGCTGGAAAATTTTTCCTGTATGTGAACCAAAGCCGAGAAGTCACATCTGAAAGGATCTCTTCTTTTTCTGAAAGAATTTTATAACTTCTTAATAAAAAACAAAATAACCACAAAACAAAGTCCCTCACAAAGCTTCATAAGTAATAAGTTTTATTCTGAACTCAAATCACCTTGAATGCATCCACTGAATTACAACTACGTTATATACAGAGTTTCCGTAATTAACGATCTAGCTTGTGAAAAATTTTACTTTTTAAATGATATAATGATATTCAAAAACTGATTAGCTGGAAACTATTCTACAAAATATAACATTACCACAGGCAGACAAGCCTCTAGAACAGTTATTACCTGTGAAGATGGTGTATTTTCTACCCAATATCCAGACAGGCTCTGTAGTCTCAGGGAAATCTTCAAATTCAGCAAACCTGAGAGTATCGTAGGTAAGAGTTGCTGTTGAAATAAAAGACATCAATTACACAATACACTGATTTTAAAAATCTTTGTTTTGAAGTACACAAAGTAAACAATATACTCAGCTTATATGTCAACTTCCATGACATGATAAACAGGGCAACAAATGTATATTTAAGAAAAACTGGAAGAAACATCCATCTGGTCGACCACAAACCCCACTAATATCACTTTACAAGCACTATGCCAGCTCACTTGGAACTTCCCAGACCCAAGATGGCGAAGTAAGCAGTAAATTGCCGTAACTCTCCCATATTCACCTCCAAACAACCATAAAATAGTGTTCCAAAACAAATTCTGGAACAGCAGAACCAGGAAAAAAATGGGGTGAAACAATCTTTTAGCCTAAGAAACTTGGTAGATTGGCAAGAAAAGTCTATCTCACACAGGTAAAGGGGGAATGCATTCCAGAACAGGAAGCATCCCAGCAACCCAGCACGAGATCCTACGCCCCAGTGTGGTGGAGCAGACAAAAACCAACACCAACGCACACGCACACGCACACGCACACACACACACACACACACACATACCCTGCCCCGCCCTTGTGCTTCAGCATAGCCAGAGGACTGGGCAGAGGCCAGTTCCAAGAGCCACCAAGTGCTTCAGCACAGCTCCAGGTAAATGTGAGCCACCAACCCTGGGGGGCCCCCCAAGCAAATAGATAGCCACCACTGCCACAAGCTTCCACAAAGCCCTGGGCAAATAGGCAGCCTCCAGAAGCCAGACCTCCCCATGCTTCAGCATAGCCCTGGCGAAACTCAGAAACACCCCACTGGCCTCAGCCACACACCAGACACCAGCACTAGGACTCCAGCTAAGCACCAGGTAAGCTGCCAGCAGCGCCAGCCAGGAAGGTCCCCCATGGGCCTCAAGGCAACCTCAGTGCAGCACCAGGTAAACAGCCAGGGCCTGCAGTCTCTGACACAGGAAGCCCCTTCCACCCCCAGAGCAGAACTCAAATTTAAAAGAAAGGGAAAAGGTGAGCAAAAAACAACAAAAAAAAGAAACTGACCAGAGGCAGCTAGGTGGTGCAGTGGATAGAGCTCCCGCCTTGGAGTCAGGAGGACCCGAGTTCAAATCCGACCCCAGACACTTGACACTTACTAGCTGTGTAACCCTGGGTAAGTCACTCAACCCCAATTTTCTCACCAAAAAGCAAAAATAAAAAAAAAAAGTAACTGACTGAAGAAAGTTATTATGGTGACAGGGAAGATCAAGACACAAACTCGGAAGAGGAAAACAAAGTCAAAATACCTTTTAGGCAAAACCCCAAAGAAAAATGGGAAGTGATCTCAATCCCAGAAAGAATTCATGGAAGAACTCAAAAGGAGCTTAAAAACAAATCATATAACAGAGGTAGAAGGAAAATTAGGAAAAGAAATGAGTGATGCAGGAGAAGTATGAAAAGAGTCATCGGCTTAGAAAAGGAAAACAACTGCTTAAAAAGTAGAATTGGCCAAAAAGAAAAGTAGGTGCAAAAATCCACTGAAGAAAACAATTCCTTAAAAAGTTCAATCGACCAAATGGAGAAGGAAGTACAAAAGTTAACTGGGGAAAAGATCGCCTTAAAAGTTAGAATTGGGCAAGTGGAAGCTAATGACTACAAGACATCAAGAATCAATCAAATCAAACAAATTCAAAAGAATAAAAAAAATAAGAAAATGTAAACTACCTCACTGGAAACACAAATGACCTGGAAAATAGATCCAGGAGAGATAATGTCAGAATCACTGGACTACTTGAAAGCCATAATCAAAAGGAAGTCCTGGACAGCATATTTCAAGAAATTATCAAGAAAAACTACCCTGACATCCTGCAACCAGAGGGCAAAACAGGCAATGAAAGAATCCACTGATCACCTCAGGAAAGAGATCCCCAAATAAAAACTCCAAGGAACATTACACTCAGATTATAGAACTAGCAGGTCAAGGAAAATACTGCAAGTGGCCAGAAAGAAACAATTCAAACATTGGGAAGCCACCATCAGGATTACACAGGACTTAGCAGGTGTAACATTAAAGGATCAGAGAACAACCAAGAATCACTTACCCAGCAAAATTAAGCACACTACTTTAAGGGGAAAAACGGTCATTCAATGAAATAGATGAATTTTAAGCTTTCATAAGGAGAAGACCAGAATTGAACCAAAAAAAAAAAAAAAGATCTCAATACCAAGACTCAAGAAAACCCTAAAAAGGTAAAAACGGAAAAGAAAACATCAGGGAATCAATGGAATTGAACTATTAATATGGGAAGATGATACTTGTAATTCTTAAAAATGTACCACTAATAGTACAGCTAGAAAGAATAAACATAGACAGAGGGTATGGGTATAATGTGAATTGAAGGGAATGACATAAAAAATAATTAAGGGATGAGAAAGACGAGTACACTGGCTGCAGAAGGAAGGGAGATATAGAATGGGGCAAATTATTTCACATGAGGTGAGAAAAACCTATTACAGTGGAGGGAAAGATGGGAGGGTGGTCGATCGGCATCACTTGAACCTTACTCTCACCAGAATTGGCTCCAAGTGGGAATAATATACACAATCAGTTGAATAGAGAAATCTGTCTTACTGACAGGAAAGTAGGAGAACAAGAGGGGGGAAGAGACTGACAGAAGAGAAAGCAGACTGATAGACAGAAGCAAAACACATGGAGGAGGGAAAGGATGAAAGAAGACAAACAGGAGGAAAAATAAGATGGAGAGATATACACATTTAGTAACTGTGAATGTGAATGGCACAAACTCTCCCATAAAACAGAAGTGGATAGCAGAGTGGGTCAAAAGCCAGAATCCTACAATATGTTGTTTACAAGAAACACACTTGAAGCAGAGAGACACACACCAAGTAAAGGTTGGAGCAGAATCCATTATGCTTCAGCTGAAGTAAGAAAGCAGTAATAGCAATCCTGATCTCAGAAAAAGCAAAAGTAGGGCAGCTAGATGGCATAGTAGATAGAGCTCTGGCCTTGGAGTCAGGAGGACCTGAGTTCAAATCCAGCCTCACACACGACACTTACTAGCTATGTGACCCTGGGCAAATCACTGAACCCCAAGTGCCTCACTCAAAAAAAAAAAAAAGCAAAAATAAAATAGACCTAAGTAAAAGAGTTAAGAAAGTAAACTACATCTTGCTAAAAGGTACCATAGACAATGAAGTAATATCAATACTAAACATATATGCACCAAGTGGTATAGCAGCCAAAGTCTTCAAGGCGAAGTTAAGTGAGTTCATGACCAAACAAGAGATAGCATTACAAAATGTAAAATAGATAATTTTGACTATATTAAATTTAAAAACTTTTGCACAAATAAAACCAATGCAACCAAGATTAGAAAGAAAGTAGAAAGCTGGGAAAGAGTATTTACAGCAAACATCTCTGATAAAGGCCTCATTCCTCAATTGGCCTTTGAAAAGGCCACGGCAGGAGTGGGGAACCGCAGGCCACACATGACCCTCTAGGTCCTCAACTTCGGCCCTTTGACTGAATCCAAACTTCACAGAACAAATCCCTTTAATAAAAGGATTTGTTTGGTAAAACTTGGACTCAGTCAAAAGGCCGCACCTGAGGATCAAGAAGGCCCCACCCCTGGGCCAAGGTCTCCCACCGAATCCTGGACCATTTCCAGTTGTCCTGATCTGTATCTGGCCACTGGACCCAGATGACTCTGGAGGTGAAAGTGAGGCTGGTGACTCCGCATAGCCCTCCTTTGCTTAAATTCAATTCACTTGCAAGTCATGGCATCACCTCCCTTGATGGCATGGTCCTCTTTGAGAATGAAGAACAAACAGTAAGCAGCAGCAATTAGAGTAATGCAAATTAAAACAACTCTGAGGCACCATCTCACACCTATCACATTGGCTGATGTGACAAAAAAGGAAAATGATAAATGTTGAAGAGGATGTGGGAAAATGGGAACATCAATGCACTGCTGGTTGAGTTGTGAACCGACCCAACCATTCTGGAGAACAATTTGGAATTATGCCCAAAGGGCAACCAAACTATGCATACCTTTTGATCCAGCAATACCACTACTAGGTCTGTATCCCCAGAGAGATCATAAAAAAGGGAAAAAGACCCACATGTACAAAGGTATTTATAGCAGCCCTTTTCGAAGTGGCAAAACATTGGAAATCGAGGGGATAGTTATCAATTGAGTAATGGCTGAACAAGTGGTATATAAATTTAATGGAATACTACTGTGCAATAAGAAATGATGAGCAGATTTCAGAAAAACCTGGAAAGACTTGTACAAACTGATGCAAAGTGAAATGAGCAGAACCAGGAAAACACTATACACAGTATCAGCAACACTGTGTGATGATCAACTAGGAATGACTTAGCTCTTCTCAACACCACAATAATCCAAGATAAATACAAAGGATTCACAAAGGAAAATGCTTTCCACATCCAGATAAAGAACTGATGGATTCTGAATGCGGATCAAAACATATTTTCTTCACTAACTTTATTCTTTTTCATAGTTTTTTTCCCCTTTTGATGTTTCTTCTTTCACAACTGTGACTAATATGGAAATATTTTACATGATAGCACATGTATAACCTATATCAAATTGCCTACCATTTTAGGAAGAGGGAAGGGTAGAAACAAAGGGAGAAAAATTTGGAACTCAAAATCTTATTAAAAAAATGAATGCTAAAAACTGTCTGAACATGCAATGTGTGTGGGGGGGGTAATATTTTTTAAAAGAAGAGAATGTCTTATCTCAAAAAGGTACATTTTATGCTGCTATACTCAGCTGACTTTTCAATTTAAAAGGCATTATCTCTCTGCACCCTGCTCCCACCCAATATTAGCCTCTGGGCTTCAATAACATAAACACAGAAAAAACTGTGATGTGGTCAATTCCTTTAATTTACCTGAAGACATCTACTCAAGAACTTCATGTTTAAAAAGCTTAATCACATCTTACTATTGATACAATAAAAGGTTTAAGAAACAGACATG